ATATTGCCCACACTGCAGCGCAGCCCAAGCGCAGTCGATGCTTACTGCGCAGTTAGCAGAGCGCGTGCTGATAAGTGCATGTGTATGTATGTGTGCATAAAAGAAGTCCAGAATGATAAGAGTATCAGCTTAGAGGGTTCAGGGTATCTCCTAGTCGAGCAGTCTCGACTGGAGCCTTCTTACTTGTTTTTTTTTGTCCTACTCTGAATATGATAATTTGAAATTCTCTTTGAATTTTCTACTCATTACTTGAAGGCCCAGCTCTCTTTGATGATATTATTATGGCTCTGTGTAGAATGTCTTTTTTTTTACCTACTTAAATTAAAAAAAAATTTATTTGCTACCCTTCAAGTCTTTCACTTCTTATAAATTAAGTTCTGGGCTAGCTCCTAAGCTTGAAAAAGGGTTTTTTTCTTTACTTGGACATGCTCTTGAACACCTCCTAACCCTTTATTTTGCGTATTAGAAAACTTTATTCGAGCTCTACTCTTTCTCTGTATACTTAAATCGAATACATGTCATCTTCTTGCCTTTCCTTGAAGATCTCTACCGATTCTCTTTAGGCTTTCTTCTTCTTTGAAGACTCTCTTTATCTTAAACTCTATGACGAATAAGCTTTTAATTTTCTGTTATTCTCAATCAAGTCTTGCTTCTCTTATCTTAAAGAATTTTTTAAAATTCTCTCAATACTTTCTTCTCTCTTTTTAATCAGCCAGTTGTGACTAATGCTCCAGCTATTCAGCACAGTCTTCGATTAACTCTAGAAGCAATTAAACCTTGTTACTTGCCTAGATTTTATGCTCGCCCTATACAAGCTTTGGCTTCGCCTTTAAAGGCAATCTCTCCCTCTCTCTCTTTCGCTCACTCTTTCTGAACATGTCTCAACCCCATCTTGCTCTATATGCGCACAATATTCCTGCATTTGCTATTCAAATGCGAACACAACTTAAATTTGTGAAGCTGTGCAGCTGGGAGGCTCGTGTCTTATCATTCATTGGCCTCAAGCTGGAGCGCTCACAGTTCGGTTGTCACAGCCTGAGCGGAAGTCCTGTGCTGCCGAGGCGGGCCTTCGGGCGCTACATGCGAGCTGTGTGCCAATTAAAGGCAAGAGTGAAGCGAGGGTTGCCAAAGATGTAGTTAAAGAGCCGCCAACTCGAACTAATAAGGAGCTTAAGGAAACAGGCAAATGTGCTAAAAGGTTTACACACCGTCGCGACGTCGAGCTCTATGTTGACAAAACAGCCATAAAATGTCAGGCTCTGAAACCAGAAAAGGCTATGGGAGAGGGAGAGACAGAGTGTGGGAGGCAGAGAGGGGGGCCACAAGAGTTTGCCCACAGTCGTAGACACGTAGACAAGGGACGCACATTGTGCTGGCAGAAATAAAATGCTAAAATTATTCATTTTGCAAATAAGCAGCGTAAATATTTAATTAACAACTCAGCAAACAACGTGAGTGAGTGAGTGAGTGAGTGAGAGGGAGGCAGAGAGTGCGAGGGGGCTTGCTTGGGTGACGAGCATAAATGTGTCTCATATGTGCGTCGTCTTCTAAGGTTTCCTCTCTGTGTGAGCAATGCATGCGTGTGTGTGAGTTGGTGGTAATATAATATTTATTTATGTGTCGCTGGCAGTCAAACTCAAGCAATGCCAGCTCGTGACGTCACAACTTGGCATTGCTTGCCATCGCTTTGAGGAATACCTTTAGTTATTGCTTTAAGAGCGCAGCGGGTCGCTGACACGATAACTCTTATCAGTTTGGGCAATCAATGAGCAGCTGGCTGAGCTACAAGTAAAAAGCTGATTTAGCTGTGGATACTTCAGTGAGGAAATGCTTCAGGGAATGAGTTAGAAATAAGGTAGGGAGTTAGGTTTATTTTCATAGCTCAACTCAAAATTTGCTAATATTGCTGCTCAAGATTCCATAGGAGTTTGATCTATGATGTAATTCCAATCGATAACTCAGCTGTGATTTTGGAATTTGGAATGCAGGTGGGCTAAGATATGTAACACCTAGTTTCAGGTACTACTCGAAATTTACTAAGAAAAAGTCAGCTTGAAAATCATATACGGTATAACATATCATTCCTATTAACAGCTCTGTTAGCTTAAGGCAAATTCTCTAATTGGAATACTTTCAGCGGTAGTTATAATAATAATGCGCAATATCCCCTATATGTCATAATTTGAGTCATATTATTAGTCACGTTTGTAACTCAAAGTAAACGAACAATTTCTAGTGTGCTGTCTATATATATTTACTTGGCATAGATTTCATTTTAGGTAAATTATTTCTAACTAAAATTAAAATAATATTATTAATATATAATCGTCTATAAATAAATTGTGTTATTAACATTTAAATCAATTAATTTTGATGTATAGCTTTTGATATTAATCTTAAACAATGTATTAATAAGTTTTTGATAAAGCTTTAAGTAGCAAAATATTACAATTAATATCTATTCAATAATTTACAATTTTATTTATTTATTTATTTTTTTTTTGTTAAATTACATTTTCTTGTATATATACTTATATACAAAAAAAATTTTTATTTTTTTTTTAAGAATCTATTTTAATAAATATTTTTATTCAATTAATATTTTTAAATTATATTTTTATATTATTTTTTCTTTAAATAATATTTTTATTATAGATGTTTCTAAATATTAGCTTTGTGGATATTCTTCTCCTGTTTTTGTTGGTACTTCTTAAAGTTGTTAGCACAATTTATACACCTTTAAGCAGACATTTGATTTCTTGCAGCTGCTGGTCTCTGTTACCCTTCTCTGATTACATTTAGAGCAATTGGCGGGCCAGATCGACTCACAGAGTCTTTAGCCTGGAAACAAACGCCTGACTGACCCCAAACGGCCCTAAGTAACTTACCCTTCAACCTACAGCTCCGAGCGCAACTCTGCTCTGACTAATTAAATTAGTGCAGAAATTTGCCGTTATTATTGTAGTAGTAGTTGTTGTTGTTGTTGTTGCTGATGTTGCTGTTGCTTGGCTTTAATTGCTTCTGTGTTATTTTAGTTGGACTGCAGAAATGACTTAATAGATTGAATGGCAGAGAGCTCCGGGCCAAGCTCTTTGCGAAAATTTCATTATTTTTGGGCTGGCAAGGCGAGGGCGAACTTAAAGCAGCTTTTGCGAAAAATCGATGGGGCTACTACTGCTGCCAACTAACAAATTCGTAGCAAAACAAAGCAATTAATAACAAATATGTTTATACATTTTATAACGGCATCGAGTTCAGCACGTGCCTGACCCGGGGATTTAATGTGCAGGTGCTTAGATATTCCATTAAATGCGCGTTAGACTAGAGCCCTGCCGACCGAAAGAGCTCAGCTCTAAAAAGGAATCAAAAACAAAAATGTGATGGAAAAAAATGAGTGAAGAGTAAAGTGTTTGGTTTATTTCATTGTTTCAACTCGTAAAAGTCAGCAAATATTATTGCCTAGGCTTTTATTTTTTTGTTTGGGGTCGGGCTATTAAAATGTCATCATGTGGAAGGGGGCGTGGCAAGGGGTTGTTGGTAGTCGTGGCATAGCCGCTGAACTGTGAATGATAATTCAAGACACGCAACTTGAAATCGTGCGCCCGCTTTTATTGGCAGTCCAATTCCCAGTACGCCCGCTTGACGTATTTATTATTTAACACCTTCCAGAGTCAAGACTCTCCAAGTCTAAGCCGAAAAAAACCTAAGCGCCGCCAAATAGCATACCCATAAAATGTTGACCTTTTTGCACAAACGCACGCGCACCCACACAACCCAAGTGGAGGCCCACACACGCCATCGCCTGCCTCCTGGGTGGTCTTGCTTGCCTTTTATGAGGTACTCTAGTTTTTACGAGTCGGCCTCAACATAGGTTAGAATATTTAAAAGTGTGCTTAATTATGCTGTGAAAATAAAAGAAGCAAAACAAAAGAGAGAGAGAAGCGAATAAAGAAATTCTCATGACTCGACGACAGCAACAGCTCATAAAGTGTTTTTGTTTGCTATCAAAACTCATTTCTCTGGCGTGACGAAATCTCTTTTCGCAGAAGCGAGTAGCACAATTAATTTGCAGCTTAATTACATAACGGCATAATGGTCGCATTCAATGCGCTTAAGTTCAAAGGGTTTTGCGAACTCACCTGTGCAACACCTCTCAATTTTATGTGAAAGAAAGAAAACCAAATTGCAATCAAAAAATTTTTATGCATGAGTATTGCTGGGCTTTTTGCTGGAAAAGCTACTTTTTAAGCAGATTTGAATGGAAAAAGCTTTTGAATTGCCCTGTAAAAGTAATATATGTGAGATAATTAAGATTATACTAAAGATTTAGGCGGAACTTGTATATAAAATGAAAGAAATAAAAAATTTGGGTTAGTTTTTAAATTAAAGAAGAATTGTACTATACGATATGTAATACAGTCGAGTACAGTCGAATAAAAAAAAAATTATAAATTAATTCGTTCCCAATTCTCGATAATTTTAATTTCTGTGTAAATCGAAAAAAAAAAAAAAAAACTTATCCCCTTGCCATTTCGAATAATCGGGATTCCACTGAATAATATATTAGTATTTATAGTAGTATTCAAATACTAAACTTAAAATTATCAGAAATTGATAATTGAAGCTAATATTCTTTAGCTTGTTGACTATTTATTTATTTTATTTATATAAATATATCTTATTTAATATAAAAACAATTATTTTCTGTACATTTCTCAAATTCTTCAGATTTATTGCTAACAAGGATTTATAGAATCTTATCTTAGAACTTAAGCTCAACTATGTTTATATTTGTGTTACAGAGAAAATGGGTTCATCTTATATAGAAAATATTTTCTTTAGCTATTCATAATAATTAATTAATACTGTTTATAATTATATAACATTTATATTAGTCATTATTTAACTGTTATTGTTATTTAACTGTTATTTAATTCTTCCACACTCAGCCTCAAAATCCACTTTTCTAACTGTTGTTTACAATTTTCCTCTACTTGCAGAGCGCAAGAATTTGATTAGCCAAAGCCACAGCTGCTAACTTTTTAGGGGTAAGTTTTCTCAGCCACTTGCATATATCGATCTGAGTGCTCAACTGGCCAAAAAGACTGAATGTGTGTGTGTGTGTGTTCCGTGTCCGAAATGTCCAGCAATGTGTCCAGTTCGCTCTGTTCACGTGTTGTTTAACACGCTCTGGCGGCTGCCTGTTACCAAAGTCAACCCCCGCCGCCTCCTCCTCGGCTCTGCTATCGCCTCGACTCGGCGCAGTCAAACTGTAACCCAAACCTAGACCCCCAAGCAGCAAGTCGCTTGCTATTCATGTACGCTATCATAGAGAGAGACTCAAATTGAATTACAACAACAAACTGGGAACTGACAGCCGAATGGATTTAGCTACGAGATGCTCGACCGTTCGGCCGTCCGTCTGTCCGTCCGTCCGTTCGCTCGCATAAAATATGCAATCGCAAGTGCGGACATTTGGCAGGAAACTATGCAGACGACGCGACGGTGCTCAGGTGATATATCGCCAAACTAGTTTACGCAACATGTGGCATGTGCAGTTTGCATGCCACAAAAAAGAAAAGCAAGAAAGAAAGAAAAAAGAAAGACAAACAAGACAAAAAAAATGGACATTTTGACATGTGGCGTTGCCTCAAGATTTGCCACAGATAAACTACAAATGGTCAAAGCGACTGGTTTGCAAAGTGTCTTTTAAATACAAATGTTATCTGCCCGACAAATATCACATGTGTGTGAATGTGCAAGTGTGCGAGTGTGCGAGTATGTGTGTGTGTTTGTACGTGCCACATTTTGTGGCTGCTACAATTTTTAATGGATTGACGGCAGACAGCGAATGCGCATTAGAAACCGGGCGGTGCCCCAAAACACAGAACGCATAACGTCGAATGTCTAACGTATATCGTATGCCGTATATCGTATATCGTTTGTGCCGAGTCATGCCTAGACATGAGCATCAGTTGAACCTTGTCGACATGCAGCAGATGCTGCTGCTGCTCTTGCTGCTCCTCCTCCTCCTGCTGCTGCTGCTGTTGCTACTCCTGCTGCTGCTGCCCCTCGTCCTTCTTCTCCTGCTGCTGTTGCGGCCGCTGCTGCTACTCCTGCTCCTCCTCCTTCCCCTCCTGCTGCTGCTGCTACTGCTGCCCCTCCTCATTCTTCTCCTGCTGCTGCTGCTGCTGCTGCAGTTGCAATCGCTGGCGTCAACTGCCTTTGCATGCCAAATTTCGCATGGCTACTGCAATTTTCTTTCAATAACTGGCTCTGGCACGTACTGGCTCAGAGTATCTCTTGGCTACTTGAACTACCGCTAGCCAACAGCTCTACTCCTCTACCTCTCCCACCTCTCTCTCACACAATATCTCCATCTATATTGATACTGCATACATTTATTTTAATTGCATTTGTTGTTCGCAGCGCATCGAGTGTCTTCACTGAGGTGTTGTGCGTCCGATAAACAATTTCGGATTGCTTTCGGGCCATGGGTTTGGACTTGTTTTCTGTTACTTGTTTGCAGTTTTTGGCTAATTGGCCAATTGAATGTTAGTTTTGAGTGTTCGATTTTCAGATTTTTGTTGTAGTTGTTGGTATTTTAATAAAGAGTGAAGACTTTGGCAATTTATGGGCTGCTGAGCTTTAAATAATATCATTAAGCTTTACAGGTGTGCAGAATGCTGCATTCCAATTGGAATGCTTCACGTATTGTTATTTCATTGTTAAGTGTTCACTTGCAGTTGGCCTAGATAATGGTAAAAATAAACGTAGATTCTAGGAATGTGGCTTGTATGTGAGATACTTAGCTGAGTATTTAGATTGCTTAGCTTAACTGATTCATTTTGAGTGTAGCTCAATCAGGCTGTACCTAAAGTTGACTATTAACATCATAGATTTTTTAAGCTAAACAAAAAAAGTTTAATTAGTTTTGCCTTCTTCTATATTAAGCTCTTATAAAAAATTAAAAAAAATAAAAATAAAATAAATAATTAAATAAAATAAAAAGCTTTTCACAACATCGCTTTAAATATTTATATTATTTTCTAAATTTTATCAACAATTTGCTAATGCTGCTTGCATGTTTTATGCAAAGCAAATAAACACAAATTTATTTATATATATGCATATTTATTTGGCTAAAAGCATTCATTCGTTTAGACCGTTTAGCCCGGCCCTGCGACTTGCTGCCTGCCCAGCCCCATTCCTGATTGCTTCGATAAAGATAAAACAATATTTGAGTGAGTCAATAGAAAGAGAGAGACAGGGAGTGACTGGGAGAGCGAGAGGTCTCATAATTGATATTCATAAGTGGATTTTGTGTGTTGTCGTTCGACTGCATCTCATTAGCATCGCACATCCTTATAAGAGCTGGAGAATGTGTCGCGTTACCTGCGCTTATAAATAAGCACATAATCAGGCGACAAAAGCGTCGAAAGCGTCGACAGCAGCAGCAGCAGCAGCAGAAGCAGCAGCAGCAACAGCATGCATAAATAAATAAATAATTTGCAACAATTACCATAAGTTGGGCTTGACATCTTCTTCTTTTGCTGCTTCAGCTTCAGCTTCAGCTTCAGCTTCCTCCACTTTGGCATCCAAGTTATGACTAACTTAACGTGAAGGCAGCTCTCTCAGCGCTCGGCCAGATGATGATGCCAGCTACCAGTCGATAAACATAAATAGCTGACACGAGCAGCTATCATAGAGAGATAGAGCGCGAGAGAGAGTGAGAGAGAGAGGGGGATAGGGGGAGTGCGAGGCAGAGTGAGAGTGAGATAGCTGCCCCAAAATAACAGCCGTAAAGTGTTTGACTTTATGGCCAAATGGGCGACAGACGCGGCTTTTGCATGGAGTCGGCTTTAATTAGCGCTCGCCTCACAATTAAATAATATTTTTCTTTCTTATTTTTCGCCCATCTCTATCTGCCGTAATCTCTCGTGCGCTCTCCCTCCCTCTCTCTCACTCTCTCTCTTGGCTTTTGTGTGATGCTGCCGACTTGTTAACTCGCTGCCTGACAGTCTGCCAACAAGTTTTAATTACCAGTCAGACCCAAAAAAAAAAAAAAAAAAAAAAAAAAACAGAAATAAAATAAAAAGTAAAAATTGTCTCCCGGGCAGTTAGTTTTTGATAGTCGTTGGCTTTTTTTATGACACTCGACTGCTGCCTGTATTTATCCAGCTTTTTCTTGATTTTTTTTTTACAATTTTATTTGCGGTTTTATGACGGTTTTTTATATGAATGTTTGCAAATACTTGCATTTTGAGTGTATTTAACGATCCGTGATTCTTATCCACACGTCGTTTATTTAGCTGTCACTATTCATTTGTGGAAGATTGCAGCGATGTAGATAAAGGTTACTATATATACTTACATACTTACTAGAGCATTCTATATTTAGTTATTTAGTGAAAGCTTAGGTTTTTTGTTTTTCTTTTTATTTTTATTTATTTTATTTTATTTTTTTAATATTTATTTATTTATGACAGACATTTGTAGAAGATATGGAAATTTTTTTTTTGTACATATACATTTATAGAGGGAGTCATATATGTTCTATATACTGTATGCATTCTATTGTAATTTTTGTAATGTAATTTTTTATTTAGAATTTTTATTTACTTTTTTATGTTTTATTGGTTTTATGAGTTTATTATTTTTTTTTTTAAATTACAATATTAATTACGTTATTTTTTATTTTTATTTTTATTATTATTTTTTTAATTTTTCTTTATTTTCTTTAATTTTTTATAAATTTTTTGATTTTTATAAATTTTTTATTTATTTATTTTTTTTTTTTTATATTTAATTTTTTTTTTATTTACTTAATTTATTTATTCTTTATTTCTCTCTTGTCAAAACTCTTCATTTTGATTATGACAGGCTACTGTGGCTAGGCCTCGCTGTTGATTGTCTCTATTGACACATTGACATGCATTTTGTCAATGAAACCAACAGCAGCAGCCGTAGTTTGTCATTCAATTTTGATGAAGGTCGTTTCGGTTAGCGTTGTAAGTGTGACGACAACTTGGCTGCCAGCCAAGTCTAATAAAAAATTCAATAAATTATATAAAATATATTGAAATGGCATCAATTCATGCTCCAGATTTCTTACTCGATTGCTTGTAAGATATTTAATTGAGCTAAATTTCATTTAGTTCAAGTCTAAAAGCAGGAAAAAATAAATAAATTAAATATTAAATAAATTAATATCACTGATGGATATCTTACTTGATTATCTTTAGCATATTAAACTGAGCTTAATTAAATTGAAGTTCGACAACAATTTAAAGAGCTTTCTCCACTTTCCCAGTGTCACTTGTAGGCAGCGGCTTCAACTACTCGCTGCCACGGCCAGTTGAACCACGCCTTTTGCAGTGCTGGCCACGCCCACCGCCATGCGAATAGCTGCTTCGTCTTATTTACAACTTGACATTTCACTTGCCAGAATCGCGGCACTTCAATGCGCTCCAATTGCATTTTATGACAGACCGCACTGACCTACTTAACGGCACTTTTCCACCCACCCACAGACACACACACACACACATTTACATTGGTTGTCTCGTCCTTTTCAATCGCATTATAAATTTAATGTGTTGACCTTTTTTTCCTGCTTTTATTCGGAGCCCTCGTTCGACCGCAATTTCAATAGATTGGCTGCAGAAATCAGCGCTAAAGCGTAGCGAAAAGGACTCTTACGACCCTCGTAAAATTTAACTAAAATGTCCATAAGTAGCTGACGGGGTCGAGCTACAAGTGAGCCGCAGTTCCAGCTCCATTGCTAGTTCCAGCTCCAGTTCCAGTCAGGGTTGTCGCATTTCACGCTGACTGCACGCCGTCCCGCCCCCATTTTGGCCAATATCCTGAGCCATTTCCTGCTTTGTTTTTGCTTTTTTTTGCCATTCTGTTTCGCTTTCGCTTCTGTTGCGTCTTTTGTTATATGGAAGGTCGCACACACACACACACATTTTATTCTTGGCACATGCTCAACTCAGGGCTAACAATTTTCGTCACAAAAGCTGCGTACCGGGCTTAAAAAAATAGC